CCAGTCGTCAGCATCTTTTTTCTCTACCAGCAGCCCAGCTCATGTAAATTCTGTGCTATTTATAAGCCAGCGGCGTGTGTGGCAGCTCTGCTCTCTTCCAGGACACAGTTCAAATTTAAGCTCGGTTTTAAAGGTCCAGCAGGCAAGTTTCAGCCTATTTCCCAGCATGACACTTACTAACTAGCATAGAATAGGGAGGTAACAGATGAACTGTGAGTAACAAGTGGGCTTACTGGACTTACAGTATTTTTCCAAAGACCTTTTCTCCCTCAGAGAGACAGAGAAATACTTCAGTTTCCCCTTGGCAGGGGTTTCCTGTTGGCCAAGGGAATAAAAAGTTTGATGTGAAACTGTGCTTTCTAGGTTTTGTAGAAATAGAGGGGTAGTTACAAAGAGGTGATTATATGGGAGAGAGGATGGGAAGGGATGTCCCAGCTCAGCAAGTCCTGTATCCAAAGCAACAGGCAGCTGTATGCTGGACCCAGGCACTGAGGAAGTGGCAGCATGTGTGTTCCCTGTCCCTTCCCCCCAAAAAACACAGTAGGAAATCTAAAATCAGTATCAGGAGTCCAAGAGCCACAAATCCTATGCAGCACAGAACGATGCGTGTCCCCCCTGGTGTGCACATGTAAGGTGCTGCCCCTCTGCTGGGGACAGATCTGCTTGGGTGGTGTCAACTAACTTTAGTCAGAGCAGGTTTTGTACAGAAAAGACTTTATTTAACTATCAATTAAAAGACCGTTATCTGAAAAGCTTAGAGTATAAGCCAGTCACTCACTGGTGTAAACAACACTTCCAGAAGATGCTTGTGACTCCCCCAGTGTACCGCTTAGGCTGCTTTCTCCTCACCACTGCTCAAGAGTTGAACACAGCTGGACAAGCAGCATGGCCAGCCCCCCGCGCTCCTCTGCAAACTGCTGCCAGCATCTATTTCTTCCATTAAATTGTCCAATTCAGGCTCTTTTGGCAGTTTGCCTGTCTCAGAGGAAGCTTCCCAGTGAACTCGCTGGAGGTGGCAGTCATCTGTGACCATTCAGAGAGAAGAAAGAAATCTGTGTCCAGCTCAGAAGCGCTTGGCCAGCAAGGATGCCACCAATCTGATGCTGCCAGGAAAACACGAAGGGTCTCACAGTGTAACATAAAGGCACAGGGAAATGGCAAAAAGCGGGACAGGGCAACATTCTGCTGTGGGTTTGGGATGAGAACAGAGCTGTCAGTGGCATATGTCCCTCCTTCTCGCTGGGCTGCTCCAGCAGCTCCCCAGTCCCTCTCCTTTTCAGTGCTGCTAGCCAATGCCTCAGGGTAGGCTGTCTTCTGGCACTCAACCTCCAGCTCTTATTCTTCCACATCTATCAGATCCCACTCACCTGTACTATAATCCATATTCCAGCAAAAATGGTTAGCTTTGTCCGTTTACTCCCTTTGAACTTCATTTCCGGCAGGGTACCCTCGCATGTGTAGCCAGAGCTGCTGTTGCCTTTGAAGACCAGGTGCTTCCAGGAGAGCAGGAGGCCTTCTCCTCCCCTCCTCAGCCAGGCTGCTAGGGAGAGGACGGAGATCTCCTCCCATGCAGCTCAAAGCCCACCATCTGGAGTTGGACTAGATGATCTCTAGAAGTCCCTTCCAACTCTGAAGATTCCATGATTCTGTGATCTGCTAAGCTGGACTCAGCACCTCATGATCCAAAGGAGGTGGTCCCACCACACAGCGAGCAAAGCCACCCAAAACACCCTCAAGGGCTCACAGAAAAAGCCCAGTGGAAGCTCCCTGAGTCATGTCGCTCCCGTGTCGCCTGTGTGCCCTTCTCAGCCTCACATCACCCTTCTGGTTTAGTTTGTATTTAAACATACCTCAGTAGGGACTGCCTAACCAGTTCACCTATGTGCGGTTGTTGCTAGCGAACAGGCGGCAGGGGGTTTGCCAGCTCAGTACCTGCTCCTGCTGCCTTCACCCTCACTCCACCATCCCCAGCGCCCTCTGACAGCCAAGGAAGCAGCCGCACAGGAATGTCAGGATTTGGTACGCTGTGTCTGGTTTTTGCAAAAGGTATCTGTGAAATGATGTAATTTATACAGTGAAAAGTATTTAGAAAATGTTTGAAATAAAGCTGTACAGCTCATGAATGCAGGTAATCAAAAAAAGTCATCAAAAACATCTGTGCAATAGCACTCTTACCAAAATTATAATAAATTAGAAAATAGGCCTGGTGAAAAAAAAGTTCATAAGAGGAATATAAAAAAATCACCGAGACACACTAAAAAATGCAATTCAGAAGTAGTCAAAAAAAGGACTAATGCTTTTTTTTTTTTTTAGGCACACAGCAGCGTGCATCCCTCCCTCACCCCCCACCAGTTCCCCGGGAACAATCTTTCTTTCACTACTGTGGCTTTGCTGAATTTTTGAGCCTTCTCGGGCAGGTGGATTGGAAGCTACATGAGCGAGAAGTGACTTTTCAAAAACTATCCACTGTCATCTCTGAGAAACAGCACTGATTTTCTGAGCATCTTACCCTCCTGTATAACAAATCACACTGGCGATTAGAAGTATCTGTTTATAGTACAGTCTTCCTACACACACCAGGTTACTTTTCCCCCCCCTGAAGGATGCCATGTTTATCTTCTATACAACACAATTCAAGAACTGCTGCAGTTAAATTCACAGCAACTTTGTTTATAGTGTTAAACAGCTGACAAAAAAAAAAAAATCTGAAAAAGTTAGAAAGAACCTTTGATACAATTCCCCTTAATCCCATATATTTTGCTAAAATCTTTGCCTAGGATGTAACTGCAACATCAAAAGATAGAGTTCCCTTTAAGACCTTAGTGAAACAATAAACTAGACAATTTAAGCCTTTATAACAAAGCAGGTTTAATTTGGTGTGGCAGGTTGACCATGGGGGGTGCCAGGTGCCCACCAAGCCACTCACTCCCCATCTTCAGGAGGACAGGGGAAGAAAATTACATGAAAAACTCGTGGATGGAGATTAAGGCAGTTTAATGGAAAAAAAAGCAGAGGTTGTGTGTGAAAGCAAAGCATAAAAAAAGAAAAGATTTATGTCCCATCAGCAGGTGACATCCAGCCACCTCAGTACGTGTAGTGGTTGCTTCGGAAGACAAATGCCTTAATAACAAACATAGTGCCCCCTCCTCCTTTCCTTCAGCTTTTATTGCTGAGCACAACATCACATGGTATAGAGTATCTCTGGGGTCAGTTAGGGTCAGCTGTCCTGGCTGTGTCCCCTCCCAACCTCTTGCCCACCCCCAACCTCCTGGCCTTTGCGGTGGTGCTGGCGAGACAGCCTGGATGCTGTGGAGCACTCCTCTGCAGCAGCCGAAACATCGCTGTGGTATTAACACCTCCGCGCTACAAACACGGAGCACAGCACCACACGGGCTCCTACGGGGAAAGTTAACTCCACCCCAGCCAGACCCAATACACGCCAAGAGCAACACAAGGCAGCAAAGTGCTTTAAAAACGCCAATCCCTCAGATTCAGTGTATCCATAAAACTGACATTCACAACTTACTTAACAGAAATAGTTTATTTAAAAGAAAAAATCTAAACCTTCACCCTGAAGGGTATTTACAGCAGCTTTTTAATTGCATAGATAATATTATAGCTTTGACAGCCCTTAATGAAAGGAAACTACTAAATTACTTGCTGACATCTAGAGTGATGGTACTGCTTTGTAAGTTGCTGCTAAGCTCTACACTAGAAATTTGCAAGTCTTGATCATTTTTATGGAAGCTTTTGGGAAGCTCAAGGCTCATTTAGGTTCCCTGCTACACCATATATGCAGGCAAAGTAACAACAGTCACGTTCAGTGACTGCCAGAGAAACACAGCTGCCCAATCCCATCTCTTTGAAGGAGAAAGTAAAAACACAAAGGCATGGCTGCAGCTACTCAACGTATTTAGTGCCTCTCTGACGTGCTGGGGGCATTAGCTGATGAACTCCTCTGGTCTTTTCCTTCATTAGCTCTAATGGCCGCAGCTTTAGAACAGCACTTTTTGGGGAATGGGCTGTACAGAGGTTGAACGAGAGAAGGAGGAATAAGTCTAGATCTCGGCTCCTTCAGCAGAAGGAGTGGTTCCCCTGCTGTGAATACAATACTGTATTTTAAAAGCCTCATTTGGAGAATATTTGGAAATTAGTGGTGACATTTTAGGAAGGTTATTGAAGCAGTGGGCTGAGGAAACAGACACTTGAAAAATGTCAGCTAAGAAAAAGGTAAGAGGCACTGGCCTGCCCATTACCTGCTCAATTGCTTTATTCTTCAAGCAGCATTCCTTGTGAAGCTGTAAGGCTCTAGCCCTTACATCTTATTTACAGGGTAAAAGATGACAATGCAATTCAATTTGAAGTCTTTGGCAGTTCTTGAATTACAGAGCAGAATTCATTCCCATATACTATGACATCTAATAACAGTGCAATAGTAGGTTTAGCTCTCCTAGTAGAGTTTAAAGTATTAGAACATTTTCCAGCTTCAAATACTGAAAACTGCATTTTTGGGTCAAACTATTACTCTTCAGAATTTTCAACTGTATCTGTAGAAAATTATGAATAAGTACAAGTTTCGTTATGCTGACCAAGTCCGCGTCCATATCCATATTTGCATACCACTATGAATTTACTCCTCTGCAAAATTCAAGCCCAAGAGATGGAGTTTTCTATAAAAGATACGACTGTTATTTACATTATTATTGCAGAAAGAAAACAGGCTTTTAGAAGTTTTAGAAATAAGTTGCAGTTTCAGGCCGTACTTCAGACTATATTAGACCTCTAGTCTAATGCATCGAGCAGTGCAACACCCAAATTATACCAAATTTGGTGCTACTGAAATAAACAAAACAGCCCCCGAACAAAAAACATTTCATAGAAGTGAAAATTGAAGGCAGCCATCATTTACAGAGAAATGCCATCTAGAGAATGCCTTGCAAACTGCTTTCCATTTTCTTCACTAACTTTCCCGTTTCTCTCTTGTGTAGCGAGCCAAAAAATCACTTAGTTCTTCTTGATGTTGCAGTGCTTTTGAATGGATCAGACTCTTCCTGCAATTTGTAAGAAGATCTGTATTACCAGAACAAGCACACATTCTGAGTCATAAAAAGTCGAGTCACCCTTAGATTAAACTAGAAAGCCTGGTCACATTACTCCATGTTTTCTGGCAGACCCGTTTTTGTTGGTTTTGATATGAAAAAGATTATCTTTTGATTTAAAAGTCCAGATCATAAATGTGCAGAGAATAGAAACTGAGTTTAAGTCAATACAATCAGCACAGCCACTCTGAAACGAGGAACAATCTCTATTTCAGGTGTGACCTAGGAAAACGTTATCATTATGAGCAGCACATACCTCAGTGAGGTTATGTCCATATACATATCACTCATCATAATTTACTGGGATTTGTACGAATCAAAAATACTGTTTCTTTTTGCATGTGCCAACAAATGCAGTTTTGTATTTCAGGTACAAGAAGGAGAGATAGCAGAGTGGAGAGAAGGGACAGGCATTTAACATTTTCTCTGAAGTGGCCAACACCTGACATTGTTAAGGCCGGGATCCTGACCATACATCACAGTCTGTGAAAACAAACCGCACAGTCCTTGACAGAATAATATGTATCCTATTCAGTGCAAAAGTGTGTACAAAATTCTACTTGTTTAATTATGGAAGAAACCATTTCCTAGTACTTCAGATATACACTGCAAGGACAGATATCTTAAACTTGATGATAGCGTAATTTTTTTTTTTAAGTTATTTACATAATTTGCAACAATAAAACATTTAAGTGCCCTGGAATACAGTAATTTTTAAATGCAAAAAAATAAAATTCTTCCTTTTTACAAGAAAAAAAAAAATAGATAAACAAATGAAAGGACATAGCCAAGCACCAGAAGAGATAACAATTATTTTCTTCCCCAGGCAAAACGACCTATTCCACATATTTCAGGAATGAAAATTAACTGATTAAGAATTGAAGGGAAAAAGGACTGAATATTTTCCTGAGATCCCTTCCAGCCTTAGTATCGATGATTATGTATATATTCTAATGAAAGCTGGCTGCGATAACCTAGCCTTGTTAGCAAAAAAAACCTCAACAAAAACCACAAAAAAACAACTACAAAACAGTAAGTTATAGAAATTTACACAAAGTAAAAGAAAAAAAACACCACTATATACCGTACCTCATCTGACTCAAAATCTACTCCTCTAGATGTTTGGCTTTGTGAACCTCTTTTACTAAATGAAGATGTAGCTGACAATCTGGAAACATACAAAGAGAAGAAAAAAAGGCATCAGTTTGTTCTCAATTACCAGACATTCCAATACCTTTCCCTTCAACTTAGATTTGGAACACCAACACAGAAATTAAGAATGAATAGAAATAACAATGACAACGATTCAAATTCTCAAACTAACATTAATTCTAAAGCTCTGACCTAGCTTACCTCAATCAGTAGAGCAATTTATTGTTACAGAAAGATCATCCACATTAATAGGTAAAAATTTATATAAATTCTCTAAGTAGTGTTATGATTTTCTTAAAAATTTGTTATTTCAGGTAGTAGATCAGAACCCTGGACCCTGCTGATTGCCGATCAGGAATAAGGCAGTCATAGTAGCATTCATGGAGTAAACATACCAACCTTTGATTTACTTTGGAAGAAGGAACAATAGAAATGTCTTCTAGATCGGAGTCATCATTTATAATATCCTGAAAAAAATGTATCATTTATAAAGCTTTTTCACAGAATTTATTCTTACAGCGATATAGTGCATAATGGCACAGTACTATAGCATAGAACCTGGGGGGGGGGGTGTCCAAATATATACCTAATTAGTTATAATATACACTTGATAGGGCTCAAGGCTAGAACTGCACAATGTGCAAATACAACACAAGCTATGCTCTTCAGATCTTTGATCTTGCAGAAACCCCCAAAATACTCACGTATATAGTCTGTATCTTAGACTACAGTCACAAATAAAACATGGCCTTTGTTTTTCTCAGACAAAACCCATAGCAAAAGAGGGTACAAAAGGTCTACAAATCAACATGCAGAAACTTACTGCTGGAACTGATAGCTTGGGAACATCTGCTGGTTTAGGCTAACATTTTTGAATATATATTTATCCTTCAAATCAGAAGACAGCAAAAGGCAGCACAACTTCACTCATGTAAGATGTTCTTACCTCAGAGCAAGATTTAGGTGAATTCAAGGAGAGCTCTGGTTTCAAAGACCTAAAGGCTAGAATAAATTAAATGGAATATTTTTTAAAGTGCTCCCACAATAAAATGCAAACAATGTTATATCATTCTTTTTATTTAAGACCTGCTTAGCATGCATTTCCTCTGCAAAATACCCTGAAAAACAAACAAGCAACCCTCCCCAACCCTAAAACATAATTTAAGCCTTTGCGAGAGTCTGACAACCCAAGGATCTAACCCTCTGCGCAGCAGTGGTTGCATCCCTGTCTGGCTGAAAAACCTTCAGTAACTTTGGTTAAGAGGAAGAGAAAAATGTTACCATTATTGATATTCCGGTATGTCTAACAGTTCAGACATCAACACACCTGCTAAAATTGATTTCTCTGCAGTATGTTATGTCACTTGCTGACCAATTTAAATTTAAGATAATTTGCCGATTAATTTAAAACTCACTCTACCGTTGAGTATTTTGTGTGGGATTTATGTATCGATTTCTGAGCAGGTTTTTTTTTTTTTTCTTTAACACTCAGATTACCTACACTGTTTCCTCAGAGCCTGTCCTCTGTAGCAAGGAAGGGATACTCCCACATATGTGGCTTAAATCACAAATAAGTTTCTCTTCCCTAGTGAAAACTGGCATTTCTCAAACTTGCTATAACATAAGACTAAATGAATTTGCATTAAAGCTTACTAACTTGTAAACATCAGTCAAAGTTAATATTTTTATCCAGAGGAATATTCTGCATGAAATAGATGCTATTAAGTCAGATTCCTTCTATGCTTATTCTTTACGGAACTGCTCACAGTGAGATGTTCCGTATGTCCAGTTCTAGTCAGAAGTTCTTGACATATTTCATTTTACCCCGTAACAGCAGGATATCACTATTCCTTTTTTTCCCCCCCTCCATTATTCTTTCTCTCATCACTGTTGGTTATTCTGTTTCATTAGAACCAAAAGAATTTCTCACAGCTGAATTGGACTAATAGAAACAAAGGCAACTAAGGCATTTCATCATTAAACAAACATCTACATTACAATTGGAGAGAGCAGATTAGAGTAATTGACTGATTGAAGGTTTACCATCCATGATAGACATGTTCTTGGCAGGCACAGATACAGGCTTGTAGCTTCTGCTGCTAGTAGTTGACTCTTGGCTAGTGCTTCCTGTAGGGACAATAAACAATATGCAAATCTGTTCAGTCTTTGGGTTTTGTTTTGTTTTTTTTTTTTCTTCCCTCTCTTTAGTCTATCATTACTGAGCAGGAAGTGACTTGAAAATCTACATTCCTCTTTACTCCTGCACTTTCTTCCTTGAATCAAAGCCCTCCTTACATGCAGAATTGCTCTGGGTCAAGGACTCAAAGCTTCACAGACACGGCCTCTTAACACCCGCCACCCTGCTCTGATGGGATCACAACAGTGTTGGAGCACACGCTCATAGAACTAGTTCAAAGGCACTAACCAAATCAGACCTAAGACAGCTACTTTTGTTTCAACTCATCCTGCTCTTAGACCTTTGGGCATATTACTGAGACAACTCAAATGAGTATATTACTGCAAGACCCCATCTTTTCTTTCTTAACTTATATACTTACATATTTATATATAATGGAAGTACATATATAATAGAAGTACCACTATCACTGTGAAGTGCACAATCACACATAGCCAAGGAGCTATTTAATTCCTTTTGCTTCAGAAACACTCCTAATTTTCTCAGTCACTAGAAACAATGAAGTCTCTTGTAAATTGCATTAGGAAGGAGACAATCTGTATCTCCACTCTATACTGCTCAAATGCATTACCTTTAGCTTTAACAAAGGTTTATCCATGCACTTCATTACACAGACCTTCCCAATAATGCATCTTTTAAGAGTCTACTATGTTTCCATTGCTGGGAAGCAAGATATTTTTAACCGCTTTGCGAAAAAGTCACAACTTAAGCTTTGTAAGGCAGTCAACTGTATGTAATATGATACCAAAAATATTTGTGAAGAACTTTTTTTTTCCAGTAGGAATCCTTAAGCAACAAAATTCCACTTGATGGAAGCATCAGAAGAGAGTCGCCTTTTGAAGAAAAAAAAAGTCAGTAACTGCAGTACAGAGAATGTGAACTTTTTCTTACCTCTTCCCCTTCGAGATGAACCTCTTGCTGTTGAATTTTGTCCCCTTGCACCTCTTGCCCTACCTCTTGCCCGACCCCTTCCTCGGCTCACTGTTGCGGGAAGGCCATCATCGGAATCACCAGTGCCTTTCATCCCCGTATCCATGAGTTCTTCATCACTGGAGGCTGCGACAAGAACTGCATCCTCAGATCTGTGGGCTCTAGCCCTGGTGATTGCCTGAAACGGAACAGTAAGTGCTATATGGAAAAGAATCTTAAATGATGAAATGCACCATGGTTAAATCCTAGTTGTGATATGTAGTTCTAAACCATTGAGGCTTAGAAGACTCACAGTGTTATGGAGCGCAAGGAAGTCTGTCAAAAAGCAGGGACAGTATCTGGTATATTTAATTTAGATGTGTACATATAAAGTAGTTAGCTAAGCTCTGATAACAGAATGGAGCTAGTTAATATGATGCATCGCCATGGGCATTTGGTGAACAGTTCAGGTCATCCTATGTCAGCTGTGTACATCTGCACCATCTGGGCTCCACTGACTTGATCTTCATTGATGACAGTGGGTGTTTAAGACAACTAGTTCATGTGAAGATATCTCAGATTAGGAGAACTGAATCTCACCCCAGGTGTCCGTTTTCTCAAAATTTCATGCCAGTCTCACAAAGCTTGCAAAGACAACAAAACACCAATGTTGTCAGTGGTTGACAATTCTCTTTGGAAAGACATCTCTGGGAGATCTAAGACTCTAAGATATAAGATTGCTGATGAGGACAATAGTACCTAAAGGCTTACCAATAAAACTAACTTGTTCCAGTAACATCACTCAGTACAGCCCATCAACACACCCACTATTGACAGGATCACAAACAGTTTAAGATGTCAGATCTCTGAAGGTTACCTGCCTGGTCTAACCTCAATTCAAAAAACAGAACAATTGAACATTCAGGTTCACAAATTTGCCCAAGAAAAGAGATATCAAAAGCCAAATTGAGCAGTAGCTTATGGACATATTATACCAAGGATGATGTAAAAAAGACTTACTAATCTTCCCTAGGCAGACATGCACTTTTTGGCAAGGACAATGTTGAAGTATTGCTAAATGACTTCATTCATACGCAGAAGTAACCATTCCACTCTTCAGCCTATGTTCAAAATTCAAAGGAGTTACCTCACGAACTTCCTCGTCCTCTTCTTCGATATTCTTTTTTCTACTCTCCCTGAATTTTCGTACCTGAATAAAATGAGTTCCCATCAAATTAACAGTTCATTTCATATGATAAACAAAACACAGTAACTGAGAAGTTTTGATCACTGAATTATTAAGTCAAACTCATGTGAGAGGCGAAGAAGAGTGCAAGAATAACTGAACAGATTGTTTAGAGCCTCTTCATGCTGTCCTACAGTTTAAGAATCTCATGTTCTATTAACAACTGCAGCTACATCACTGGGGAGAAAAAAGCTTGGAACATGATGAAAAATAGGAGATACTATGTTCAACAGAAGGAGCGTATACATAATTTGACAATTTAGGACAGTGAAATATGCAACTGGAAAAGAAGGGGTAGAGATGAAGAAGCAAGATGAAAAACAACAATATTGAGAAGAGACAAGAATTGCACTACATGTACAACTAGAACAAGAGGAAATGGCTTGAAATGGCTTCAAGTTGCGCCAAGGGAAGTTTAGATTGGATATTAGGAAGAAATTATTTACTGAAAGGGTCATCAGGCATTGGAACACGTTACCCAGGGCAGTGGTGGAGTTCCCATCCCTGGAGGTATTTAAGGGTCGTGTAGACCCTTAGTGGTTTAGTGGTGGGCTTGTCAGTGTTAGGTTATTGATTGGACTAGATAATCTTACGGGTCTTTTCCAATCTAGGAGATTCTGTGAAAGCTGAACTTGCCAAGTATGGAAAAAGATATGATGGGTGAGAGGGAAAGAAGGTATTAGTCCAAAAGACAAACAAACAAAAAACCCAACCCCAAAAGCGGCACAGAAAGCCTGCAGGCACTGATTATTTACAGTCTCTTTCAACCTCTCATGAATGAAAGCAATCAGCAAGAAAACAGGTATGTGCAACCTTCCTCCCCCCACCAAATTATTTTTTACACAGTGCACAGTTAAGCTGCAGAAAAACTTGTCATATAATGCTTGAATATTACAGCTGAATACATGGGCTCATGTGGAAGCTCAACAAGCTGATGGAGAAGTCTATTAAGGGCCTAGATACACATAAACCAGGTTTGTCTTTGGGAGACCCTGAGATGCAAGCAGTTAGAAGCTAGAGCACCTGAAGGATACGTTTCCTTTATGCTTGCACTGTTCTTGTACTCTTCCCTAAGCCAATATGAAAAAGCTAAGATTATATATACCATTTTTCTCACAGTAGAGATATACATACATATAGTTCTACACATCAGTGACAGATCTTTCCATGTATGTGTATGCAAATAAAGTGAGAATCAGTATAAGTATACCTAAACCCCATTCTCAATACAAGCTTTTAAACTATGTATTTCAAACTTCATCTCCGTATTTATTAATTCCAGAAAATGACTTGTCCATGCTCCACACAAAGGCAAATCTATTAAACCAGGTTTGAGCACTGGTTTTTCTACTATCTGTCTTGACATCTCCTAAGGAATTAACGTTGAGAGAGTATTACCTCCTCGTCTATCTTTTCTTCCTCTGCATCAGTGCGACGCTCCTTAAGAAATCTCTGTGTTTTTTCTAGTTGAAATTTCACCAACTCTTCTATGGCATCTTTTTCCTCTTTGTCCACAAACTCCTGCACTGCTTCTCCCATTCCCCGTTCAGTTAGAAGTGAAAGCTGTACTTTCTTTATAATTGGGGAAAATATTTTGTTAAGAAGCATCTGCCATCAAAGAAAGCAAGTAATATTCCTGCTGTTTCAGATAAATGTTACATTAAATTGTTTCCAAAACCAGTAATGTGCATTGAAGATTTCAATCAGAGAAGAGCAATAAGCAAAGATGTTACTCATCATAAGACAGTTACAACCCCTTTGCTACTAGCATGTTACACCTACTACAGGGTATTTCCCAGACTCGTCAAAGAAGATTCATAAACAGTAAAAAAACTGCAGTGCTAGTCATAGCTAATTTGTCTGAAATGTATTGCTGAGAGAGGAGAGAAGGTAAACTGTATTCTTTCCTAGTTCCCCTCCCTTTTTTAAACTAAAGCTAAGATCAACTTGCAGAGACATAACAATGCTACTAAAAATGGGCCTTGCATTATTACAAATGCTAAATTACTTAGTTTTACTGTAAAATTCTAACATTAAAAATGGCAGTTACAGAGCAGGGCAAATTATTACGATGAAGCATTAAGAGCTATTAAGCAGAAGTCTACTCTACTGAAATTCTGTAAATACCAGTAGTTCTCATACGTTCATCAAGTGAGATGATATTTATCAAGATAGTCTACATTACGATATTACTACGGACACCAATTAGTAAAAGTTGTAGATGCTATTGGTGGTGTTTCGCAGCCATTCTCTTCTCTACTCTCCTTCGCAATACAGTAAAAAGAGACATTCTGAGAATGAAACTCCCATATAGGCAGTAATGTTTAAACAGCAGCCTCTTTTGTCTGTAAACTACAGCACAGATAATTTCTTAGTAATAAACATTATATATGCTTATTAATGATTTCTGATCCTTCCAGGTGTCCTTTAGAAATTGTTTTGAGGGTTGTATCAGAGGCATAAAACTTTCCCTGAAATAATGCTGAACTGAGGAAAAATTTTTACAGCTATTATAAAACAAAAAATTTACAGAAAAATAAAACAAGCATCTCAAAAGAGTGACTGATTGTAATGATGCAGAACATGAATGTTTTCCTCCCTCTTTCTTTCATTACCATGTTAACTTAAAATGTATCAACCTCCTACTGCATGCCTTCCCAGAAGAGGAACAGATTCTTTCAAGTCTTTACAGACATTGAGCTGCTGAAGCAGACCTCAAATGCAGGGACCAGTAACTGAGCTGTTTATACAAGAACATACAAACAAGTTGGGAAGATGATGTAACAGTGACAATTTTGCAGAATAAGGGAGGAAAAGAGATTAAAAGCAAAATTTATTTTTCATATTAGAATACAGTGTCCTGTCTTTGACACTGCTACCCCTCCCCATGGGATTTAAGGGTGGCACACATTTGAAGAAGTGCCTACTTCTGAACTAGTCACCCTGGGCTCCCTGTCATATTCAGAAGGCAAATTAGCCCTTCCAGAGCATGACTTATGCCATGCTAATACTGACACCTAACGTGTCTAAGGTTAGGTGAGATGATATGATTTGGGGGATCTTCACCTCAGGAATCCTTGCTCTAATGACTTTCTATAAAGCATGTTCTGAAGTAGCTTCTGAAAGTTATGCTTGATCATCTAGATCAAGCATTTGGGCGCCCGACTCACTGATAATTATTATTTTTTACCTCTGAGACATTACTGCCCTGGTGTTGGGAAAGGGAAATAAATTAAAGGGAATTAAAAGGTTTAATGAAAGGGTGAGGGGAAAGCAAACTATATCCTTCTCCCTGCTCTGCTTTAAAGATAACGTGGAATTGCACTATGTCTGAGGACACAAATAGACTGCAAAGTAACAAGTTACTTCAAGTCAGCTGGTAATAGTAAATGGGTCAGTTTCACATTGACCCTATAGCAAATTAAGGTAGCTTCTCACTCAAGAGCATGCTGCCTCGCATTTTCCTCCTGTAAGAACATGACACATCATTTAGTACAGGGCAGACACTGCAAGTTCACATGAAGAGTTATCATAATGTTCTCAAATCTGCATGTGCTCACATACACTATACAACCTATATACAACAGTTACTTGTTAACTTAAGACATATACTTCATACCGTGATTCACATAGAGTTATATAGGAAATAAAATCACTTCTTGGTGAATGTCAGAGTCTTTTCAGGGAAAGCTACTTCCATTAAGAAAGCAAAAAACCAAAAAGATAAAAAGACCACATTCCATTAAAAAAAAAAATAATCATAAAAGGTAGCAAGATACCTTCTCTGCTGTCTGAAAATACTGCTTTACAAGGTCTTCCACCCTCAGTGTCATCCCCTCAGAAGCAGGTCTGCTAACCAGTTTTCCAAAATTAAGATCGCTGTCTAGAATAGAAAAGCACAGTGGCACTGTCACCCATGCTAGCAGCTCTTAATTGTTATCATCCCACTGACAGTAACAGGAAAAAAGGTTAATATAAGCATATTAAGAATTGTGGTCCCTTTTATATGTAAAGGTTTTTTGTTCTAACAGTACAGTCTATTGTCTGGAAATAAAGGTAAACATAATGGATGCAGTAACTGTACAAGACAACTCCACCCCTAGCAGATACAATGTGTTCTAACTACCAAACGTCTGGAATTATAAACTGAACACTATGTCCTGAAGGTTATTATAACTGAACTCTAAAAGATCACAAATGGAAGAAAATCAAAGGAGCCATCAAAGCACAAGGGTTTTTTTATAAGTAACTCTGTTACTCGAGAAGAAATTTTCCTCCAAAGCACAGGCTGATTTTCAGTAGAAAATGTTCATAGCTCATAAAGTCTGACCCCCATTCTCAGGCAGCAAGGTAGGAATGACAGAAGAATGAAAGGGATAATCAACTGAGGTTACCATATACCATGCAAAGTAATATAAAGTGACTACAGACTGCTTACAGACATCTGCCACGTGCAAGCACAAAACATTGTCTTCTTCATCATTGTATAAACAGCTATGACAAAAGAAACAACTTCTGAACTGATGAAGTCTTAACATCACCTGTACTCAACCATAGCATTATCACAGAATCATAGAAAGGTTTGGGTTGGAAGGGACCTTAAAGATCATTGAGTTCCAACCCCCCTGCCATGGGCAGGGACACCTCCCATTAGACCAGGTTGTTCAAAGCCCCATCCAGCCTGGCCTTGAACACCTCCAGGGATGGGGCCCCAACAACTTCTCTGGGCAACCTGTTCCAGTGCCTCACCACCCTACAGAGTTTCTTCCTAGTATCTCATCTAATATCCCCTCTTTCAGTTTAAAATCATTACCTTTCATCCTATCACTACATTCCCTGATAAAGAGTCACTCCCCATCTTTCCTGTAGGTGCCCTTAAAGTACTGGAAAGCTGCTATAAGGTCTCCCCAGAGCCTTCTCTTCTTCAGGCTGAACAACCCCAACTCTCTCAGCCTGTTTCACAGCAGAGGTGCTCCAGCCCTCTGATCATCTTTGTGGCCCTCCTCTGGACCCGCTCCAACAGGTCCATATCCTGAAAATTTTGACTGCTTTATTAGCCACCTCCCTTGCATTAGAGGATATTTAATAAAGTACTGCAAAGAACCATGGTATTCTTTTTACATTCCCTTCCTGAGGTATTGATGAAACATGGCGACAGATGTGGTAGCTATCTTGTATTCTGAAAATATTAATGAGATTATGCAACTGTTAAAAAAGTCCCAACCAAAATAAAACAAGATCAATACAGCATTAATTACCCCCCCCAAAGCAGTTTTTATTAATGAAACATGACGTTTTGAACTGTGTAAAACTGACAGTGCAAGTAAAAACTGTCAATTGGATTGGAGTACTTAAATGCACTAATGTGAAATATTAACAGTTATTTAGCACAGTTTGTTCTTGTGCAAGCTGTATCTTCATTAGCAACTATTACAAATCCAGTATTTGGGCATCTATTAACCATTTATTAAAAATTCTAGGCACAGTGAGAAATGCTACAATAGTAACAGCTATTATTTGTTTTGCACAAATGCTTGAATAGAGATGTACCTGGAACAGACTAAAAAGCCAAGAGCACCCCATACACATGATTAATTACAGCAAACAAAATGCTCTTGTACCTTCAGACTTTTTTTTTTTTTTAATATACAAACATCTTCTCAAGCCCAACTCCTCCATTAGTATTTTAGGTATAAACAAATGAACTAGTACAGCAATAAAATTTAAAAAAAAAAAAAACAAACAAAGGGAAAAAACACAACACCCACCTCTTTTTCCTGCAGAGTACCCAAAAACAACCATCTAATTCTGAGAAGTCTCAGGAGTTTAATACTTTTCATGGTAATTATCACAGAATCACATAGCAAATCAGTCTGGTATGGGGCTATATACATTACTATAAGCAACTCAAGAAGATTTGAGGCCAAAGAAAAAGGAATTATTTATGAATAACTGTCAGAAGATGCTGTACTGAATATCAGAATTTTAGACAAACCCAGCGATAGAACAGAAATACTTGTGCAACATTTACACTTAAATGAGACTATGCATCTTCACTCCTCCTGTAACACATTAGATGGTAGACACCAAGCCTTTGCAAGCACTGGGTAACAAGATAAAGGAAGAAAAATGAAAGCCAAGGCAAGCCAATGATTCCTTAATAATTACCATTTTTCTCTTTTTGTTCACGATGCCTGAAAAAGTGTATGATGTCTTTCGGGTTAGCCACCTTATCCATGTACTTCTGGCTAAAACGATGGACACTAAATGGTTCGAAGCCACCTGTATAATCAACCTAAGAGAGGAAAGGAAAAATTGAAATATGAAACAAACAGATACAGAGAAGCCACACAAATCAAGATGAGTTTGTTATCCTTCAAAGGAAAAATTGAAGTAAAAAATACCTAAAATTAAAAAATTAAAAAAACCTAAAACTAACGCTTTACCACACTATGCAGAATAGTTAATAGATAATAATAGCTAATAAATAGTATTAGCAGCATAGCTAGTAACAGCCTAGATTCATAACTTGTTCCTAACTTGTTTCATTTACTAGTCTTCAGGAAAGTTTCCATAAATTAGGTTAGGAACAAACATAGGATATCATGACTTAAGAAAAAGTTCTTTCTAAATAGCCATTTCTGGTCCCCTTACTCAGAGCAGCAGTGAAGTATACTTATGACCAGTCTCATCCTTTACCATAGAACACTAGTCATATCACAGGTAAACAGAATCATGGTATGAAGGTGATTTATATTCACCGGTCCACAGTAAGAAATTTTATATATTACGTGTTTATAAAAAAGAAAAACCCCATGACTTCGAAATTTTTCACAGTGACCTTTCAAAACACAGCAATCCAAACTGAAAAATTTCTTACTCGTAATCTTATCAGAGGCTTCTCTGGCTGGCGTGGATTTCCCAAGCGTTCTCTTTCTGCCTCATCCAGCATCAATTCAACCTACGAAGCAGAATTAGAAATTTAGTTCCACTTTATTCCTTTACAGATGCCTGAACCCTTCAAGTATAACTTTAAACACATCCAGCTGCAGGGGGGAGCTATACAAATAAATATAGGATGTGCTCTCATTCCTGAACACACACATGTACCAGTATCCAGCCAAAAGCGATAGGAATGAACAAGAAAAAGTCAAAATGAAAAGCTTAGCTTTCAGATATAGTGTAGTCCAGCATTATCTACATCACTGATCACTCATAACTACTTTACGTTATAGCTGGTAGCCTTTGCTAAATTTCTAGTTCCAGAGAAAAGAAGGAAGAAAAGAAGGTTCTTATGCAGACCTAAGAACCAAGAGCAATTAATTAACTTGTTTAGTTACTTCTGCCACTTCACAATGCACAGCCCAGCTCTCAGCGTTTAGGTACACGTATTTATGCTGGTTCCAAAGTGCAAATCCAATGCTGCCCCACTCTCAGGCGAGAGTTTTTGTACAAAGATGATATGGACCCCCATAAAGCAGTTCCAGCCTACTTTAAAAGGTTATCCGAGTCCAGGAATCTGGAAGCCATGGCTGCAGTGAATGTGATGGAAATAGCCTCCTATGGAAACATTGCCTAAGTCTGTCTCAAATAATATACAGCAAAACTTTTCACCTTCCAGTCTGAAAACCAGCCACAGATCACATTCCCTGTCCACACGCTGTTACCTTTTCCATGCAGAATGCTTGTATTGCCTGAGTTACTTTGGGATTGTCGGGATTAAAGAGATCTGGGTGATCAGCTAGAACAACATCCTCCATGTGGAAAGTTCGCACTGTCTCTAGAGCAATCTTCTGCATTTTCATCACTTTCCCTTTAACATGCAGCAAACCAATGTGTCTAGAAGGAGAAAGGTAACTTACTAGAAGGTAAATTTAAGAGAACTATGGTATAAAAGTTTGGTTTAAATTCATGTTTAATTTTCAGGGACAAAAGTTCAAAAGCTATAGGAAGTTCTTGGATCCGTACTTCACGGTTGGCCCTGCCAAACTTCAGTTCCATTATATTTAGACAGTGCTCGTTCCATATACAAGAACATGTACACAGTTCCTTGTATACCAATTTATCAGGGTGCAAAACTTCTTCGACAAGTTCCATTTGATTCGAACATTAGGTTTAATCCTAAGTAAAGCAAAAGTTATTCTAGGCACTGATTCAAGCTATTTCATTTGTTATGTCACACTCTGAAGCTATAACACTGTAACACAAGTCCTTTTGTACTTAACAGAGGTATTTTTCTTTTCTCAACGCAACACTCTAGACACAGAAGGCAAGGGATAAACAAGAACAAAAAGAAAGGATCACACACTTTTTTACGGCTTCTCCGGGGGACAGAGATGTCACCACTGAACTTCCTGGTTGAGAAACAAAGAAACATTGCTGTTCATTTTGGGAGGGAGCTATTTTGCACTCATGTTCGTGACCCCATACAACAAGATCAATAAAGTCATCTAAAAACTGCTCTGGAATGTAGTTGGTAGCTCCATGTTTGCTCCTGTTCAAGAAAAGAGAAAAATAATTAGAATGTCCACAGTCGTGAGTGGACAAGGAGGTAGCGAAGGAGAAGAAAAACATCAGTGTGATTTAAAGTGACACAGAAACTTCAACAAAAATATCTGACATACATTTCACATTAGGTACTCTTCACATTTATTTCTCATACAATTGTTTAAAGTGTTTGGTTAAACAAAAAGGCAGCTTACACAGCTCATACTTTTCTGCTCCCCTCCCTTTATTTGGATCTCCCTTTTCATCTTACTTGGCTTGCAAGACTTTAGGGTTTTTTCCATATGAATGCTTTTATAGCACCTCACAACCTTTTTTTTTTTTTTTTTTTTTTAAATTGGTGAGGTAAAAGCCAGTGAATGAAACAGATATGGGACCACCTCCCCACCCCCCCATTCCCTTCCAGAAGATAAAGGAGATGGAGGAAGAATGAGGTCCTTCAGCCTACTGGACAGAGATCAGTACACGGCGTTATCTGAGCTACATTTGTTTAGTTTTGCTTCACTATTACTTGCACATGAGGATTGCACTTATTCAGGAAAAATGATAACAAAGGATTTGGAAAAGAATTCTGCCTGTTCCTACTACCACTGCTGAGAGAAGCGTGAAGGCAGAAAGAACTCATGCTACCTATCGTCTATTCAAGAGAAACTGTAAAGCATAGCACTGCAAGTGAACAAACAGCACTTGTCAAATCATGGTTCAAACAAGGATAGAAAACACAATATGAAGTTTAATGCTCCTTCAGCTCTAACAAGGAGACAGGACTTAATTATATGCATATTACACTACAAATCCTCCACTGCCCCTAACTATAAGAGTTTGGGAAGAGATTTCCCAACATTCCCAACTCATTTATTTCAACTCTTTTCCTTTATGATTCTTCTGTAGAAGAGCTGTAGAACAATGCTTTCATTTGGGAAAATCTTAAGAAACCAGCTACTCACAAAAAGCACCAACTAGCATAGCTGGCTTTCTCACCTATCCTTTTCAAGGCAGTTTAAGGAAGTAACACAGTAAGTTTAAAAGTCACTGTAATTCATTCAATACTCTTACCTATTTTGATGAATCACAAACAAGTTAAACCAGCTATCTTCATCTTCCTTTGGTCTCAGCATGGTTACTTGTTTATTGACAAACATACGATACAACCTTTCATCTGGAATAGCTCCTGGAGTAGACAAAACAAAACATTAAATCATTTTTGAGTGGTAAACCAGCCTTTTTTAATAGCTTTTTTTTATTAGCAACTCCATTAAAAAGAGCACAAAGAACACAACTTTGTGGCAAGATCAGCTCTTCAGTATCATGACCTAAGAAGTATGAGGCATGATTATGAATTTGAAGAGATCAAAGTATAAACTGGCTATTTTACTAGATGGACTTATGAAAATAAGACATTTTAACATGAAATCTACCTTTAAACAACTGCTAAAAGCAGTTTCATTAACTACAGCTGATTTGAGACCTCTTGCCAGTTTTCTGTGCCAAACAGCTTACTATGGGCAGAATTAAAAATATTAGAAGAGATGTTTTATTTCTTGTTGTCACAGTAAGTATATTTTGTTGTAAGGTGAAGCCTAAAACCAGATACTACTGAGTAGAGATGGAGTTCTTAAACATACTTTCAAATTGTCTACAAAACAAGAAATAAACCATGAATTCTGCAAAGTCCCACAAAGCAGGAAAAAGTCTGCCGTACTTCTCACCTATTTGTCACTGACTACTTCCTTGATGTTTTTAACAAGAAAAAAAAAACACAAACAAATCATCCATACCCAGGGTTCATAATGCATTTCAATAAAATCCCATATGGAGTTTGCATATTTTGTATAAGAAAAGTGCTCTTTAAATCAGAGAAAGTAAGAGGGTATAGAATCCTGGTACAAGCTCAAAGAAACATCTCATGAACATTTTCATGCAGCAACACCCGTACTTTAGAAAGTTGCTGCATTTCCCAGAGATTATTCTGGGTATTAAAAATTCAAATGCCTTTTGAAAACTTTTATATTGTGGTATTAGAACCCTCACTACTAGCCCTTAGAACATCTAGCAAGCTTTTAAAGTATCTCATTAAACACATGAAACCACAGCCACACAGGACAACTTATAGCTATAAAAGTTGCTTGGAAATTAAGTGTTTAAGCACCCGTGACTGGACATAAAATAAGGGGAAAAATTAAGATCGTAATAGTTAATTTTTCTAGACAGAAAGCAGTAAAACTTAACCATTCTAAGTAAGAACTGAGGGTAGAGGGGAAGGTGGAGGAGAAAATAGAAAGGGACAAACTGAAGTTGAAAACCCACTGTAGAACACCTTTAAAATATGAAACTTCACAAGTTTCTTTACAGAAACTTAGGTTACCTGTGACAGATGTTACTTATGAACCACTTCAGACAAACATGTCAGACATTAGGTTTCTGCTCAGACAGTTTATGTTTTTTAATATAACCAAAATGGTACATGAACACACAGTGTTCAAGTTTTACCTAAACAGGAGGAAGTAAGCTTAATACGTAACAGTGAGAATTTAAGAGTGTGATCGCCCTGACTCAATACACAGGCACCCTCTATGGCTAACTTAAGCAGGGTTCATTAAAGACCAATAAAAGTCTAAAAGTTATTGAAGGATTTATTTTAAAGTGAAAAAAGGCAAAGAAAAAAAACCTGTAATCCAGTGACAACGCAGCAGGAGGAGAAACCTGACACTGTTATGCCTTAATTTAGCATTAATTAGACTTGCATATTTGTTGCAGCACTGTATGTTTTTTCCAACTTAATTTAGACCTATTGAGCTTCAGTAATACACGAACAGTCCAGCCACAGTCTGGCAGACTAATACCTACCTAAGCCATACAGAGCAATTTTTGTTCTACCCTTACGCAATAAAATGGGACTAATATCTATTTTCTCCACAGAAGTTGAACGTCCAAAGTGATTCAACAATCCTGCACAGCTTAAAATATCCAACGCACACAGTGCATCTGCCTGTAGAAAATATTAAGAAACAAATATAAAAATGCTGAACAGAACATTTAGCCTTTAAAGTATAAGTGAAACAGTCTCAAAAGGGAGAGATAATATCTTTCCTTAAGTAACTTCTGCAGTTGAAAAACCCCGCCACATATATTAGCTTTTTTTAGTACTAATGGGTCCAGAAGCAAATCCCTTTTCCTTACAAGTCTTGCTTCATTTGAGCAACATGAAATTAAACATTGAATCATGCAGAAAAACAAAACCAAAGAAAAAAAACCCTCCAAAGAGGCAAAGTCTCTAAGCTACTACAGAAAATTATCTGCTAACTACTTCATAATAAGTCCAAAGTTAAATTTCTCTTGTTAAAACACCCATTTCATGATACACTATTTATAGAATCACAGAATATAAAATGCAAAATTATTAATTCAACACACGCACTTTGCTGCTTTCTAAATGTTCTTTCACTGCTTACTGCTTACTTTTAGTGGTTGATTTTTAAACTAGCATTTCATCATTATTAGATTATCCTCCTTGAAAATGCAAGATGCATATCAATTGTATGCGCACAAGACAAAGCATCAAAAGTCCCCTTAAGAAAAAAGCTTTCTATAGAAATTTCTATTTCTGCAATATTTTTGTATAGAATAGTATAGTACAATTATGATAATAATTACCCCTGTGGGATCATCATGATTGCCATGAATACTAAAAATTGGAATAGAAATGTTGAGATTTCTATCCTGATAATTCACCCATGGAAACCTGAACAAGAAGATGAAAAATAAGTTAAACTATATCTGCAAATCTGTGGACAATTCCCAATATTATTTTCAAATTAACATCATCACAAATACATCATGACAGCAGTACAAATAAGTAAGTGGCTATGAATAAGCTTAAGCTGCACAGCATAAGAAGATTCTTATGGACTGGAATGGCACTTCCCAGTGGGAAAAGAGTACCAAAAAGATCCTGAGGTTTTTTTTGGAGCAAGCCTATGGAAAGAATTGTACAACATGTTGTGTGGTACAAGCAAGAGCAGTGGATTGGGCTGTGCAACCTTTGTTTACACATAAAGGATGCTGCTGATTTTACCACAATTTGTGTAAATTGTTTTACTTGCATTGTATTCGCGGGATAGAAACAATACATTACATAAAAGTATCAAATGTCACAACACATTCAGAAGTTTCCCCAAAAATTGTGTGCATTCCTTTACAGACTTAGATCATAAAAGATGATAGGTGAAGTCATCCTGTAAACTGTCCCATGCAAACAGGCCTAAAACTTCAAGGTTCCAGTCACAGAGGATATAAATCATAAAAATCACAAGATGTTCACCCAATACACAGACCAAACCTTACACCATAATTTATAGGAACATACTTACTTGCTGTAATGAAAGTTAACTGCCTGATCACTCAAAATTTCAAACTGAACGGGACGATCACCCATGCAGTATTTTCTCAGTGACTCCACACAAGAGTGTACTGTTTTTCTGGAAGGTTTGTTTTCATGAAAAAGGTCCCCACCTAATAAAACAAAGTCCACCTGTATGTAACAAAAAGCTCTATTATTTTAATACAACATTTTATATTACTTTGAAAGAGTTCTAAGCAAATTGTTTAAATTATTTCTTCTAAGGAGTTCCACATAGCTCCTCATATCTGGACTTCTACGTAAAACGAATTGGTAGTTGCAGACACAGTATTTAATGTCCTCATGAAACAAACATTAACTAAATTATTCATTAAAACAAAACCAAACCCCAAAAAAACCATTTACGAAGAGCTATAGGATAAAACAACTGATAGCGTTGAAAAAAAAACAACCAGTTAAGTGCTTTAAAAAGGGTCTCCATATTGGGCCTTGAACATTTTCTTTGACAGGCATGAAGAGATACATTATCTTTTCATTGCTGTACTATCTAGCAGGAAAAAAAATCAGTAGCTATCCCCATATTACTTTGAGAAGGTACTAGTTGCAGTTTCTGTATATATTTAGCTTTGAAAAAGCATTAGGAAAAAGAATCATCTTCAACAAAATTGCAAATAATTTTACTAAGAAACACTTAATCCTTAAAACTAGAAACACTTTTAAAGTGTCTAACTTTTATTCCTACTTTCTCAGTTGCCTGAAGACTTTGTATCATTACTCTCACGCCTCCCTTCTTGCGGTGACAAACCCTCTCTAAATACCACTGGAACTGGTGCAGGCAACTTGAAAACACCGTTAAAGCAACTAGGGCCATACTTTAATAAGAATGCTCTCACAAAGGAACAGGCATTCCTTTTACCATAACAGAAATGTAGCTGATTGCAATAAATAGTTTGGTTTAGTCATTTAACGTGACATTACGAAAGATGACACCAGGCCTAAGCTTTACAGCTTCTGGCAGGTTGGAATGTATTTTCCACAGTCTCACTCCTTCACTTTCCAAAAAGCAGTACTTACATCATTTTTTTGAGCATGGCTCAGAATTTCATCAAAAGTCACAAACGTATCATTCCCACGGACTGGATCCTTCTCCAAATAGCCAAGATGAATATCAGTAGCAATAAGTATTTTAAAGCTATCTTCATCATCCCTGAATAAGGCAGGAAAATTTGTGTTAGACAGCAATACACTTAAGAATTTCAACACTGACTTTATTAAGGTAAGCTGTCCTGTCCAAAGTCATTAAATACGCAAGAGATTTGTTATAAAACTCTATGGAAATATCATTCCTGTAATAGTCTCAAAACTTTTCACTACTTTTATGGCAAATCGATCTTCACCAAACCAACCAGTTTGAAAATTAGGTCATCCCAATCGGACTACTCTAGTAAAGGGCTGCAACCATCTCTGTGAAGTATCTAATGACAAATTAAAAATCTTTTTTATGTTTTCTGAGCTTAAAAAGACTTGCTGAACAAACGTTCAATTTTCTCTCTTTGCAGTGGTAATCTACATATATGTGGAAGCAAGCATGATGATCATAAGGACGATTAGGAAAGCATAAACACTGAACTCAGTACTTCTTAACTTATTCCAAGCATACAAAATACTTGCTATCTGATGATAGAAGAATTGCATAGAGCTGCAGACAACAGGAGCTTACTGCGAGTTGATGGTACTCATCTTCGTGCCAAGACTCCTCACAAAGCAGCTCTGGACACAGCTGGGTAGGTCAGGTCAGGAAGTCAGTTTCTACCTTCATCGATGCTATGTAAAGCCTAAGAGGCAAAAGTTATAAACGAATTAGAACGAAGGGTACAGTGAGCTGAATGCTCAGTTTTTTATTAGTTATTCTTGCTTGCAAAAAAACCTCAAGATAAGGAAAGATCCGTGCTTGGTTTAACCGTTTACAACTGCACCAGAGGCACGGCTACCCCGGGGGGCGCCGCCAGCCCTCTCACACCGCCCGCCCGGGAAGGCAGCGGTGGGGAGGATGGCCACGGCGGGGCGGATGGCCACGGCGGCACCGGGACGAGCACGACCGCCATGGGGTTCAGCAACGGCGC